GTTTTTCACAGTTGGGTCAATATGAATTATTTAAAATCTGCCAAAATATCAATGAAAGTGGTCATTGCTTCAAACGGTCATTAACTGGCACCCAACTTTCATTCATGCCCCGCCGAAGCTTGGTTCTGCATAGCAACTATACCCCGGTAACCGCCTCGGCCGGCGGCCTAAATCTGCTCCCCTTCGCACTTCAAAAGATCCTACGGAGAGGGCGGCATGCGATTCCCTAGGCGGCCCAGGCTATTCTGCGTAGCTCTCCCACTAAACCCAACTGTGACCCAAAGTGGAATTCGGCAGCCACTTAGGATGTCTGAGCAGTCTTGTTTTGGGATAACACTTCTTACCTTCGCTCGGTGAAGGGGCTACGAAAGACGCCCTAGACAAATTCTGTGAAATCACCTCATCTGCATGCAGACCCTGGCTCATGGATGTATAACTCACGGTTTAAGCAATCAGACAAAAACATCATCCCCCCAGTCCCACCCCGCAGGCTGCCAGTGTGGCTTCCAACGTCACCGCGCAAGCACCGACATAATTTTCGCTGTCTGTTAACTAAAAATGACTGCGAAAACTACTTTAGAATGATTCATATGACTAATTGGCGAGCGTGCGTCATTGCCGCTAAATTTTCGTCGAGTCAGTACGTTTTTATGGAGACGGGGCCAAGAGAGACAGATCGGTTACTAATTAAATGAATTAAAGTTTTTTAACACATAGGCGGGGTATAGAAATGTGGGGAGAGGGTAGTAAGAGGCAATGCTTGAATGCTGACCCGCCATTACACTTTTTTCGACCTGATGAAGCCCTTCGACACGGCAAAGAGTGGTGCAGTCGGGAAAATAATGCCGAAGTTCGGCTGTCCGACGCGAATCACGCACATGGTACGTTTGCTTCACGACGACGTGATGGCGCGCGTCATGGGCAGCGGGACAGTTCCGGAATAATTCCCAGTGACCAATGAAGTGAAGTAGGGCTGCGCGCTCGCTCCACCCTCTTTTATCGCCCATTCAGTTCCATGTTGATAAACGCCTGCCGTGATGAGCGTCCTGAGATTGACATTGTCTACAGGACCGACGGCCAGATTCTCAGCACGCGACGAATAGAAGCGTCCAAGATGACTTCAACAACCACTCTCCATGTACTCCTCTTCGAGGACGTCTGTGCACCCAGTGCAGCGACAGAAGCAGCCAGGAAAAGGAACATGAATTTCTTCAACTCATATTGTTCTAAATTCGGGCTGTCCATCAGTACGGACAAAGCGACGGTCAGTCCCAAATGAGCACCAGAACAGTAACTCATGACGCCCAATATCAACGTGAATGGAACACGACTCACAATCGCAGGCCTCCGTCTGGAACCACTACGGACTTCGACCAAACCTGAAATTTAGACTTGACGGAGGAATGGACAATCAGCACCAATCAATCCAGGACACTCAATCACTTCTGTCTTAGCTGTCTGTGGAGAATACCAAAGCTGGGTTGGCAGGAGAGGATTCCGGACAAGAAAGCCTTGGAGAAGACCGGAATCCTCAATATCTACGCCATGGTAGGGGAAACCCAATTGAAATGTTGCGGCTACGTCGGGATAATGAACGACGAGAGATTAACCAAAGGACTCTTCTACATAGATGTCGCTCCGCATACTCGCCGACTCTGAGAACGCAGATCGACCTTGTCGGGCATCTCCGGACCTAATGCAGCAACGGTCCGACTACTCCGATTTCAGTCCTCTCAAGCACCTACGCCTGCACTAGTTGTCACGACGCAGAACACCACCACCACCACCGGTGATCACAGCTGGCGCCATGACACCTCATGTGACGTCGTCGAGCGCCACAACTACGATTGCCACCTCTACAACACCCCACTACCAGTCAGAACATTCTCAACCACCACGACCTCACCATCACCACCCTCCCACCAACAATGTAGACCCTATCCCGACCTGTCGCTACTGCGATCGCATATCATCCCACGCATCAGCCTGGTCGGTCTCTTGGGGACCCACTGCACTGAGAACGGCGCACCAGTGCCAGGAGTCCCGGCATACGCTCGCCACATCCGCCTTCAATCTCTCTACTGCCCACGCACACTCACTCGCCGAATGGGTTAATTTGGCCCAATGCAAATCCACACGCCGCAATAGAGACGCACCTAGCGGACCTCGCACACCCAAAAACTCTCTCATCTCCAGCATTACCATCTACCCCTCTATCGGCGCGGTCACCACTGGCAACATAACCCCTTCAACCGACTCATCAGGTTCCTATCTGTCTTGTCCACTGCACATGCGCATCGCGTATCGACCTGGTCGATCACTCGTGAATCCATCTCAAAGAGGCTGACTAATTAGAGCCAAGAGCACCAACATACACACGCCGCACCTGCCTCAGCTGTCTATACCGCCACGCACAACCAGTCAACGCATGGACCTATTCGACTACATGCGCATTCGTGAAAATCTATGGTAAACCATTGCAAACCGAACACCATGACCAGATATCTCCTTACCAGTACATAACCACACACGAACCTCTCCCACATCGTCCGCTTCTGGAACGGAATCGGCACCTCTCACGCAAGTGAGAATCATTCCTTTCGGCTTCTTCTCCATGCTGGCAACCCCGCCACTAACACGTGAGAGGTCTCTACAGTCTACTACCTCTGTCTGAAATCCTCGCACGTTATATGTAGGCCCAGGTCGTGCATGTGGCGCGCGCAGTCTGTCAACCAACGCGTCCGATCCCCGCACCAGTTGACTGACCGGCTCGGACAGCGAACTTATGGCTAGGAGAGGGGGGTGAAAGTTAGGCCGACTCTCGGCTCATATTCTTCACAATAAACAATCTGGTGCTCTAAAAGCCGTTGCTCAGTAGGCTATCAACTGATGGGATAACTCGGTCCTGCCCTCAGGAGGGAGAGTCAGACTGCAATGGCATCTTCTTAATGTGACCTCTGCGACACTCCAAATCAGATGGGGTACAAGCCCTCAGTTTTTCTTGTAATGTGAAATGCTCTTCATCCGTGATCGAAAAAGAGGGTTGTGGTGACACAACTAGAGGCAGGTTAACGTTGTGCCAGCCAACTTCACCCGATCTCACCTCCGGTCTTCTTGACTCACGTTACGCCGGACCCCGGTGTGTGATTGAGGGGGGAGTGCGGTATGTGCATGTCCTGCACTTAGTAAATTCTGAAATTATTACCTTTATATAAGTGGATGTTTGTGCTTGACAGAAAGGACACCGCCAGCTCTGCGACAACCACCGAGGCATCTCCTTGCTGAACGTCGCGGGGCAAATAATTGGCTCGCATCCACCTCAACCACCTAAACAACCACCTAGAACAAGGTCTTCTGCCGGAAAGCCAGGGCAGCTTCCTCCGTCGTCGTGAGACCATGGACATGAACTTCGCCGTCCGTCAACTTCAGGAGAAGTGCCAGGAGATGCGAACCCATCTGTACTCTACCTTCGTGGATCTGACTAAAGCCGTCGACACGGTTAGTCGTGAAGGACTGCGGAAAATCATGCAGAAATTCGGCAGTCCCGAGCGATTAACTCAGATGGTGCGTCAGCTCCATGATGACATGATGGCGCGAGTCATGGACAACGGAGCTGTCTCAGAGGCCAACGGAGTGAAGCAGGGATGCGTGCTGGCGCCTACCCTCTTCAGTCTCATTTTCTCTGCCATGCTGATGGACGCCTACCGGACCGACGGCCACCTCCTCCATCAACGGCGGATGCATTTCCAGTCGCGCGTATCCACAACCACCGCTCACGAACTTCTCTTTGCAGATGACTGCGCCCTGAACACCACCTTGGAAGGGAACATGCAAAGGAGCATGGATCTCTTCTGCACCGCCTGCGAGAATTTCGATGTGATTAGTAACACGGAGAGGATGGTGGTCATGCACCAACCGCACCCAACACAGCCATAAATGCGCCGCAAATCAGCGTGAACGGAACCCAACTGCAAGTGGTGAACAACTTCACGTATCTGGGCAGTACCCTCTCCCGCAGAACCCAAATCGACGACGAAGTGACCCGCCGCATTTTCAGGGCCAGCCAAGCCTTTTATCGTCTTTAGCACACAGTTTAGAATCGTCACGATCTTTAGCTCAGCACAAAACTGGAAAAGTATAAGGCGGTCATCTTCCCGACGTTGCTGTACGGAGCAGAGAATTGGACGATGTATGTACATGAAGTAGGCTCAATCACTCCCACCTCAGCTGCCTTCGACGAATACTGAAACTTAGGTGACAGGAACGGGTGCCCGACACTGACGTACTGGAGCGGACTGGAATCCTCAGCATCTACGCCATGCTGAGACAAATTCAACTGCGTTGGAGCAGCCTTCTCGTGCGAATGAACCACGGGCGGCTACCTTAAGGACTCTTACATGGAGATGTTGCCACGGGTCCCCGTCGCCAATGAGGCCAAATCCGTCGATACAAGGGCATTTCGAAGACCTCCCTGAAGCGTCTGCAGATCAACCCGGCCAACTGGGAAGACCTCGCTCAAGATCGACCGACCTGGAGGAGGTCAGTGAAGACAGGCGCTGCAATCTACGAAGCCAACCGCATCGCTGCCGCGAAAGCCAAACGTGAGGCACGCAAATCTTATCTCTGCACACCTCGCAATGCGAAAGCACAACCGCCTCCTACGTGTCCGCAGTATCAGCGGACATTCCGGGCGCCAATTTGACTTATTGGACACCTTCAGACCAACTGCAGCACTCCGACTGCATCAACCGCCGTCTCTCCATCCACTTCTTCCTTGCCTTCTACGCCAGCAGCTAATTCTGGCCATCCTCCCGAACAACAATTTCCATCCTCCTCCTCCTTCTGCTCCTCTTCCTCTTCCTCCTCCTCCTCCTCCTCCTCCTCCTCATCATCATCATCATCATCATCATCAAATACCTCAACGTCTGCCGTTGTGGCGTCTGCCATGCACATCAGCACTACTCACAATCCTGACGCAGCAACAAACACCAATACCGCCATCGACGACACCAGCGGTGGGGACCTAGATTATACTTGTCATCAAGGCGATCGCACCTTCACCTCGCACATCGGCCTGGTCGTTCACTTGCGAATCCATCGCACAGAGACTGGGAAACCAGTGCCTCGAGCACCGACCTACACCCACCGCATTTGCCTCCAATGTCCACATTGCCCTCGCACATTCATGCATCCCATGGGCCTATTCGGCCGCATGCGTATCCACGAGAGCGGAAATGACCGTAGTCCCGACACACCCAGCACATCCAGCACACCCACCATACCTAGCCCCTCCCTAACCCTGTCGCCTTGTGCGTCCACCGCCACCAGCTCCATCACACCCAGTGCACACTGCACACCCATCACGTTCAGCCCCACCCACACCCTCTCGTTCAGTGCATCTACCACCACCATCTGCGAAACTGACACTGACGCCACCAACTTCTCGTGTCCACACTGTCCCCGCTCATTCACCTCACGCATAGTCCTGGTCGGTCACCTTCGAATCCATTGCACAGAGACTGGAGAACCAGTGCCTGAAGCACCCACTCATACATGCCGCATTCGCCTCCACTGTCCACGCTTCCATCGCACATTCATGCGTCGCATGGGCCTACTCGGCCAAATGCGTAACCACGAGAGCGGAATTGACCGCAGTCCCGACACACCCACCACATCCAGCACACCCGCCATGATTAGCCCCGCGCTCACTCCGTCGCCCTCTGTGCCCACCATCATCACCACCACCACCACCACCATATTCGTAACTGACACCGACACCACCGACTTCTCATGCCCACACTGTCCCCGCTCATTCATCTCACGCATCGTCCTGATCGGTCACCTGCGAATCCATTCACAGAGACTGGAGAACCAGTGCATAAAGCACTCACCTATACCCGTCGCATCCGCCTCCACTGTCCGCAGTGCCCTCGCACATTCGTGCATCGCATGGGCTTATTCGGTCGCACGCGCATTCACGAAAAACTGCGGTAGACAACCACCGGTTGCATCACACCATCACATCCTCCCTCACCACCATCTCCTCGCATATAAACATCCCACACCACAAGAATCCAGTTGTCACCTCCGGCACTAGTGGGAAGTGTACGACCCGACTAGGTGTCCGTGCGGCTACTGTCGCATGGGTGACTCGAGTCCGAGACTATCCCGACGCGTCAAACGCTGCGGATTTGAAGGTTGCTGACTAAAGCCCCAACTCAGTCCACGCAGTCCGTACAAATGTGTGTGTGTGTGTGTTTGTGTGGCCCCCTCACGCAAGTGAGAGACACGCCGTTCAACCCCCGTTGTGTGAAATCCTGATGTTTGTGTGTATGGGGGGCCAGGTCGTGCTGTGGCGCGCTCAGACATGGTCAGTCGACCGTGCCAGCCACCGCGCCCATTTCCCACTCCAGTCCGCTGACCGGCTCGGACAGTGGCTGGAACGGGAATGGGAAGGGAGAGTGAGGTCGGAGACTCAGCGCATTTTCCTCACTATAAACAATCAGACGCGCTTGAAGCTATCACGGTGCGCTAAAACGCGTGACTTGGAAGGTTGCCAACTGACGGGATAACTTGGACCTCGCAGTCGACGCAGTGTTGTGTGTTTGTGTGGAGTGACGGACTGGTGGTCTAAGAGTCAGGCTGCAATGGCTCCTCCTTAATGTGGCCATTGTGCCACTCCCATTGCGTGGGATCAGAGCCGGGTATGGGCGGCGTGCCTAAGTGCGGCTTCGGCCGTGCCAGCCTCCATCCTCTGTTGTTTGCCAGAAACTTGGTTATTTGTTTTGTGGACCAGGGGGTGGGGAGTGGGACGCCAAAGTGCGGGCTCGGTCGTGCCATCCACTTGCGCCCTCCATCGTCTCCAGTCTTCTTGACTCTGTCTTGACACCGAGTCCAGGTGGGTGAGGAGGAGAAAGTGCGGTAGATGCGCCTCGAGTCTACTCTCACTACAAATCCTGTGCAAGTCACCGTCCCTGTTATCACCCTGTTGTGGGGCATACGGTGGACATCGTCGGATCCGACGGTCGAACTGTCGTGTGTGTGTGTGTGTGTGTGCGTGTGGAATAAGCCCACTTTCACCAAATCGAACTTTTTACGAAAATCTAGACGCCTTAATTCAGAAAATTCACTTCTTCCAACATTTTAAATTAATCGGTGGTCAACTACTAGTCAAGAAAATGAAAAAAAATCGGCTTGGGAGCTGGCAACAGACACTTTATTCGAACGATATTCAATCCTAAATCCGAGGGAACCTGATTGAAATGCGATATTTGTTTCATTCCAATACATCTGCGCTATCTGATTATGCATTTTCTGTGAGTGGATTTTTGCAAGCCCTAGCCGTTGTCTTTGTGGAATATAATTACTAAAGGTTCCCCAAAGAGGTAGCATCGAGTAAATGCAACTTTGCCGAGCACCTTGTAAAGTACCTATTTATATGTGTCTGCTTTCTGTGGCGTCTTTTTTCTAGTTGTTTTTACTGACAGCTCATTTCAGGCGTTTTCATACCGAAATTTCCTGCTACTCTGGATAAACGAGTGTATGTAACATTCTCATGCATGCTGAATTATGCGCTACATTTTCGGAATTGCTCTGCAGATCTTTTGTTACTAGTGTGCCCCTGAAACGGCCATTAGGTAAATGTGCTGGAACCAGCAAGAGGGCCAGATGGCGGTTCGGCGGACGTTATTGTAAGTGCACACCAATAAGAAATACCAACATTGGGGTTGTGGTGGTAGTCCAAAGTGCAGGCCCACGTCGCGCCACTTGGGGTCGGAGCTATTCCCCATTTTTGTTGTTCAGTAGCCCGGTCAGTGTACGCCATGGGAGTGTGGTCGTAAGCCTAGGTGCGGGTTTTTGCTGTGCCAGCCGCCTGTGTCCTCTTCCGCCTCCCGTATTCTTGACTCTGTCTTGATATCGAGTCCACGTAGAGGGGAGGAGAGAGTGCGGCAGATGCTGTGCAAGTTTACTATCACCAAAAACTAATTCACGCGCAATTCACCGTCCCTACTCTCACCCTGCTGCGGAGTGCACGGTGGACATCGTCCGTAGCGACGGTCGAAATATCCTATATAGCAAGGTTTTAGGAGCATCAGGATGCCGATTTGCAGCCAGCTTGCAAAACTTGAGAAATAGAAAAACACAAGTCGACTTTTTTAGCATAGACATTAATTTGCAAGCTCTTTCATGGTCGGAATAGGTCACTTTTAAGTTTAACATTCAGATAAGATTAAAGCCACTACGAGAGGAGCATAAGCGATGAAGATTTTCCGCAGTCTTCCCATGGCTAAAGATTTATTTTGTAAAAAGGTAGAAACTCACTGGAGGATGCGTATGTTATTCCAATAGTAATTTCTATCATGCATAACTTACACAGATATCCGGACAGTTTCCTAGACATGAGCCAGCCCACTGCCGTGTGCGTGTATGTTCCATATCATCCAGTATTGAAACAATAGTTAAGCAGACTTTCCTGTTTTAAAATATGGCCGAACAGGATTGTAGACCTTTCGTAAAAGAGGTGGCATTTCGCTAAATTCTGGGAGGCAGCTGTTCTCGTGTCCTGATCTTAACTCTAACCCAAATACCAAATCTAACCCTAAGCTCTCATAACCCTAATCCAAAAACGCTAGAATTCACAACTCTAACCCCAACCCCCCCCCCACACCAGCCCCAACCCTAACCTCCCTGGAATTTTAAGCAAGACCACCTCGGTACGAGGAAGCCCATACTACGACTCCCTGTCGAGATGGTAATGTTGACGACACAAAGAATCTCAAATCAGAAATCAGGAGAGACGGGTTGGGCGGGACAAGTTTGCCGAAGTGTAAAAGCGTACAAGCGGCTCTACAGGCAGCTGCCGCTAACTGCCTCTCCAGGCAAGTCCTTTTGCCCGTGTCCGCCGTTGAGGTTTATAGCCCCCAGCGCGTGTGCGCCTTCCGCTCTGTCTGAGTTAGCGTCCGCCAGCCAATCAGAGAAGGCTCAGCGTTGATTGGCTTCGAGCTTTAGCGAGTCTAAGCCTCGCGCATCCCAACAGCCAATCGACAGGGAGCGCGAGGCGGACAGAAGAGCAGGTAGGCAAAGCGCCGGAGAACATAGAAACGCGGGCTGCCACAGCGCTACCGAAAATATGTTTAAGGGATTTGCGTCAACGTTTTGTGAGTACTAGCCGATACTGCACGCTCTTAGATCTGCGCTCTGATTGATGCATAGTCCTCTGGAACTACGTCAATGCCGGTATGGATTGTTGATTTATGTGATGACCGTGGTGGCGTAGGTTGTAACAAATATCGTCTAAACAAAGTAAGTACGCAAATAGTGACCCACATAATGGGCCGGCTTTTAAACCACAGCCGCACAAGACGTCATGCAATTCAATAAGACGAAAAGTCGATTTGTTGGATGTTTACTTCGCATGATTTGACCGCCACATTGGAACTGAGCACTCCCTTTTTATCCTGCCGGGAACGGACAAATGTCGAACCAATAAGCAAAGCAGGAATCGTAAATGGTTTTTTCCTGAAATAGTGAAGCGGTGGTCAGTTGTGCATTTAGAACCATGCTCAGGCCTTGTCCGGAACACGCCGCAGACATCTCGCGTTCGAAGAACCACTTAGTTCAGCCGTTACCACTGTCGTGATCAAGAGTGCATTCATGTTTTCTTCTTTCGGTTAGTAAGCCGAAAATTGGCTTTGGTGACGTAGAGTTTCTCTTTGTTGAATGGCATCTGGTGAAGGTCACTACAGCATCTCAGCGTCCATAAACTGGACGGCAGCTCCATAAAAGTTGTAAAACTAGTCAAACACTCTCAACCCTCCCTGCGGTGCTCACTTGACAATGAGCCCATTGTTGGAAGGGGTTCTGAGGACATTATAGTTCCGCTGTCACGAACGACGCGACTCACAAATGTCCCACGAAATGAAAACGGTCGTAGTTTCCGCAACAGCTGGGTTATAGTGAGGTGGGCGTTCGTTTCATTTAACTCGTTCTTACTTCCCGCAATCCACACATTTCGAAGGCGAAAAACGTCAGGATGATTGGAGGCTGACGTAGGCGCAGTAACTAACAGATCAAAGAAGACATTTGCCTGTGCCGCATATGACCTATTCCCTATCTTCATACTTACCAGAATTCAGTGGCGGTCTCTAATCCAACATGAACAAGTGCTGAAAAGGACGCCTTTAGAAAGAGATTTCGTGCGCGGACTCCGAATCCTGAATAAAACCGAGTTGGTATATTGGCTGTTAACCCTCCAGGGCAAGAAGTTGACGTAACATCAAAGGTTAGAGGGAATGTAGTTAACTATAGGGAGAATTTGTTCGTTTTCTATGAGAGGGAATGCTCAACGATTGTGATGGAACTAAAGCTATCCAACGGTGCGAATCCGTGCCCTGTATATCAGATTTTAATGCAGATAGGTTTCAAGGTTTGGGTGTTGGCCATACTGCTCCGCGACAGTACAATCTGGTATGTTTCCGCTTCGCCTAGGTCTCCTAGATTTGGTTGGCATCGAAGCTGATGGTCCCATTTTTTCAACAGTGAGATATTTGTCCGGTCTTCGACTGATTTGTAGGTGTTTTAGAGGGACTTTTGGGGTATTTTTGTATCGCCGCTGTCGTTCATCTTGCGATGTTACTGTAAAACAGCTGCATCTCAGGTGCTCGTCGGCCATCCCTCCAATTGAGTCTACTTTGACATTGCATGGATTTTGAACCAACGCGCTTTTTCTAGAGCCTCAGTATCTGAGATCCTTCCCTGACACGGTCTATTCGAAATTCTCCAGAGGCAGTGAAGTGAGAGCGGTTTAGTCTGCTCGCCTGGCTTGGAACACTGACCACACCTACGTCCCTCACAGAGGGATAGTAAAGAGGGAAGCTCTATATATCCCCTGTTCCATGTTGGGGAGAATGCTGCGACTGCTCTAGACGGAAGGTTACAGCCTGCTGGCTTTGTAGATGTTGGGAGTGCCTACACTCCCAAAACAAGGCCAACCAATCACTGGAGACCACGTGCGTTTGCTCAGTCTACAGCGCTGTCATCTTAGTCGTGCCGCCTCTTCATTGGCTACACCCCTCTTCCCGAAGGGCATTGGGCCGA